AGTTAGTTAGTTAGTTAGTTAGTTAGTTAGTTAGTTAGTTAGTTAGTTAGTTAGTGAGTTAGTTAGTTAGTGAGTTAGTTAGTTAGTGAGTTAGTTAGTTAGTGAGTTAGTGAGTTAGTTAGTGAGTGAGTTAGTTAGTTAGTTACGTTTCGGGCAATTAAAAATAACCCATACGTAGCGAGGCTTGGAGTGTTTCTACATGTGGCTGTGTTCCTGTATTAGCGTGTTGTGTGCACGTTTGTTTGTGCGTGACGTATATCAATGTGTGTGCGTTTGCATATGGGAGTAATTGATTATTCGTATGCATTGTACGTAATCCTCGAAATCATTTGGAACATTTAGGGGGCAGGCTGCTTCACATCAACTATTTTGAGCTAATCTGGATTGCATGGGATCCATCCAAACGGGCGGAGACATCTTATGAAATATCTTCCCCTTTTGAGAATCGAGCCTATGCATTTTGTGTGTGTGTGGGGGGGGGAAGATGGGCAACTAACGACCGCGGTGATTTACAAGTCTCCTGTACGAATTTTTATGAAGATATTACAATCTTCTTCCCTGTCTAATTTGCAGATATTATTATGTAGCCATAGAAATGCTCTTAATAAAGAACGCATAAATCTCCTACTTGTTTTATGTAACGTTTCAGGCGGGAAAAGAGTTCCAAGTTTTGAGATAGCTCCCTTGTTCTAATTTGAGTAAAAAATCTCAGGACATGAAATCTTTAAAAAAAAACTAATAGGAGCTGCACAAAACAAAATCCGACAACCGCTCTGCCATAAATCTCCGATGAACAGAAATGGAAAATGAAGGCAGTGAGCTTCCATTAGGACGATAATTTAAGTTGAACTGCTCGTTGGAAGTTGCACCACGCTCGCTTTCGACTTGCTACAAACGCGGTTCACTGTAGACAAGATTATTTTGCATTCATTTTTTTTTGTTCGTCTGTTCGGAACCAGTGGTGCCAACAGTCTACGAAAACATATCATGAACCTTTCGAACCCCAGGAAACGCGCACGAAGAGACTAAACTAAAATATCCACGGATCATTTTGACTTGTATATTATGAAGACGTGCAAAATCCGGACAATTTCAGGAATGCAGATTTCTGGATTTACACAGAAAATTGACGCCGCTTCCGAACGTCAATTTCGAACCAGAACTAAAAATAATCTGGTGTGCATCATACACTGGACGTCAATGATACAACTTGAGGCTGAGGTCTGTCCCCTTCTGCCGACACTGTTGTCTGTTGCGTCATGCTGAACCTCAGTCAAAGAGTCTACATAACAAGAGAGGCTACTCCTCTCTTTGAGGCAATTAAAAAAGTGTCCTCAAAATTCGGTGGCGCCCTCTTAGCAAATGCACCCCCTTTGCGAACAGAGCTACTTGAGTTTAAAAAATCAAAGTGAAACTAGCAAGTTTTTTGATAAATTTCGGAAGAACGCTTTTTAAAAAATGGTTGCACTGACCAAAAAATCTCTTCCGGAGGAAGGGGTGATTGTTTTTTTCGTTTATATTAACAATGAAATGAAAGGCGAGAGGTCATTAAAATAAAATAAAAAACCTAAAACTCCGCACTGAACAAACCCGAACTGCTGATGAACAGCCGTCGGTCTGCCCACGCGAGGAGGTGCTATTCCTATTCTTCAAAACAAACTGCAACACCATCTGAAGCAAAGAGCGGACTTCCGTCGGACACTTTTTTGGCTGAGTGGACCATCTTGTTAAGTACTATCTTTGCCTCAACACATCTACACGCAAGATGGCGTCTAGAAAACTGTCGTGAACGCTTGAAGGACATTCCGGACTCATAAAATTGATGTCTGATCAGCGACAGATCAAAGGCAATGTTGTCTCACATTTCGAAATTTCGAACCATAATGCTCAAGTCAGCAACACGAATGTGTATTATAACATTTCCTAGTGTACACATTTTTTGTCAGGAAAAGAAAACAGAGGTGAGAATTTTACAGAAATAACGAAATGATGCCCCCCCCCCCCCCCCCCTTTCCAAATAAAAAATCCTCATGAAATAGCGCGTCTGATGTAAGTGCTTTCGAAAACCCAGATTGATGGACCTCAAAGAGTTCAACGACCACTGAGATGTTGTAAAGACGCATGCGTGAGACACGTTTCCTTTTATCGCCATTTCGTGTTGGCCAAATTTAAGATAAGTGTATATTTCTGTAAGAGTTTCTAACGCTTTTGTTTTTAGAAATTCCTGTTTTGATTTGTCCGCGATTTTGTCTTTTCACCCGATCAGCTTTTGCAAAAAAAAAATGTTCGAATTTCATACCTTTATCCATACTAGTTGGGCAATTTTGAGGTGGGATATTTTGGCCCTGCCTATCAGGGCCAATTAAGGCAAGGAGGGATACAACGTTCCTACAGAAAGACAAATGTACTGGATAAAATTTCTCCCTATACGGTAATCGAACTCATGTCTCCTGCCTGTTTCTGCAAAGCGCCTAACACTACATCACAGACACCTTTGCATAATTATTTTTGATGGTTCTGCTTGTGTGTGTGTGTGTGTGTGTGTGTGTGTGTGTGTGTGTGTGTGTGTGTGTGTGTGTGTGTGTGTGTGTGTGTGTGTGTGTGTGTGTGTGTGTGTGTGTGTGTGTGTGTGTACATTTCAGTAACTTTCAGAAAAACCATGAAGCACATACAGACTGTCTGAATATGACATAATTGGAAATCGTAGAACTGAAGGACCTCCAGCCACAATCCGGACAAAATGCATAATTTCCCTACTGTAAAAAGTATCTATAACCCACTCATAAACTAATAAAATCCAATTTCATTTATCTTTAGACTTTCCTTGATTTCAAATGTATTTACGATGTCTCTGATTTGAAGCATAATATAAAAAGTCAAGATCTGCAGGAAGGAAAGTAGTGTTTCGGAAACTTACTTCCTCTATGTCTACCGCCCAGGCACAGCCGTGTAATGCTTACTGCTTTAAGATTATCTGTCAAGATGCAAAAGGCCATACAGAATAATGATATGGATCCCATTTCTGGTGGCATTCCGAGTAGAGCTTATCCCCATCAACTGTCTTCCGATGGAGGGATCTCTGGTGCCGAATTAGGCCAGGGCCCCGCGGGTAATCTAAAACAGACAGTTAAAAATCCGGAAAAAGGTGGAGGTTAAAGAGATTGCCATCGATGTATAATGCTGTATGAGTATTTTAAATTGAAAATGATATTCCAGTAAACGTATGTTTATGTATATTATTCTTAGTGAAGATTTCTTCCATGATGATGATTTCTAAGTGTTTATTTATGTCTTTGAGTATCTCTGTGTGCTTGTGTGTGTTTGTGTGTTTGTGTGTGTGAGAGAGAGCGTGTGTGTGGACTCGCATTTGGCGAATCAGGGGCCGTGGGAGTTGGGCAGGGGGCTGATGAGTGCGTTGGCCGGTCCTAAGAAAAGACGGTGCAAACATGCCAAGTTAAAAGCTCGGAACGACGTACGCCGAAGCTACAGCTGTAGGTTGTATTGCATGCACTGCACTCACTCACTTGTACACCACACCTACAGCTGGTGCACTCAGTCACACAAACATTATGCAGGCACATAAAGAATTGGTAATATATTCCGACAACGGAAACATACACTGTAGGTGCAACAGGATTATAAGGCCGTGTGGTGGCTGGAGGTAGTAACGCATTGACACCTAATTGCTAAAGTCCAATAATTGGGAACGTAATCGGGAAAGTCTGTCGTGAACTTTTACCCCCGAGGACATTTGCTTGCAGAGGGT